CAACCAAAAACTACTGCGTAGAATCAATCGAACTTTTTTCACAAGCAAGCCTTGCTATATCAGCTGTCAAAATATATAATGATTATGCGGCTTAAGTGTGAAGTTGGCTGTGAAAAAATACAATAAGTCCTCCGTTGGGAAAAAACGAAATTACTTTCCGAACAACCTAATATATGTATATATAAAGTTTTTAGTAAATATTTTAAAATTAGATTTAATAAAAAAGATTATTTCTTAGAAACACAATAAAACTTGTAATCATTTTATTTGCATTTAATTACAAAAAACTTCAATGAACTTTATGCAGCATGATGGTACTTAAGAACTAAATTAATCTACACTTAACACACACAGGTGCATGTATAAGCATATAAATATAATTGCATAGAATTAATCGATGTTTGCTTATACGTTTCTGCCTTATCATCAGACGTAAGTCGACTTTTAGATTGTTAGAAATGGTAACAATGCCACTCGCCAACATTAAAGAGACGCATTAAAGATGTCAGACATAATGTAATATTTACGTAAATAATTTTTTTACTAATCGTCTGATAACAAAAAGGACGAGGCACTTATAAAAATTAAACGAAAAAGGCATAGCCTTTAGTTAGTATTTAGTAAGTAGTATAATTATTTCTATTTTGTCAATGTGAATATGCGTAAGTGTTCATGCTATTAGAAAATTTATTTCGTGTATATTATAAAGATCACTTATCAAATTAATATAAAGAAGAAACAGAAAAATAATAAAAAAAGAGAAAATAATATAATATATATAGTATAATATATTATGTAAAGAATACGTTAAAAACGTAATCTTTAATGCCTTTGATAACGCCTTTTTTTTTGCTGGATATTCGTATCTTTTGAGAAAAAAAGAGGTTTTTGCAAATCGATTGCTTAAAAACTATTATTCTATATTTAAATCAAATTTTAATGAAAACCTTTAAAACTTACTCGGCAAAATCCAAAATTAACGCAGTAGCTTTCTTTAAAGATCATTTTTTAATTTATTAGAAAATTTTGCATGAATCGACAGTTTTTGATTTTTTGAAAATGACAGTTTAGAAGTCATCAAAGTTGTGCTTGCAACTGTGACAGATAGACGAATTAATTATTTTGCATCTCAAAGCACTTACTAAAACGCATATACTAATTTGAGTCAAAATCCTGCCGAGGAGTCGACGTCGTGGTGCCATCTCTTGGAGGAAATACTTAGCAAACGCATTATACCTTGAAGACACATTCATGGATAAGCATCTGCGATATTGATTGCTGAAGAATATTACTGCGCATTATTTACTCTTTTAATAAGCGTAGTATGAGTCTTTTAGACTTGATAATATTCTTTTGCTCACATAATTTATTGTTTCTCAGTATAGGAATCAAAGGAAGAAGTAAATTTAAACTTCTTAAATTTAATTCACTTCCTAAAAAAGAAGAAACTTTTAAGAAAGTATATTATACATTTCACTTTATAAACTTTTAATCAAAGTTCAAATTTACACCGTCATGTTTAGATGTCGAAAAGAAAATTTCGGATTAAAATATATATGCATAAAAGAAATATTTCTTATTCCTTTTTATATCTCAACGGAATTTGTGTATCTAATTTTATGTTATCAGATGAATAATTGCTGAAAATTGTTTGGAAAATTTGTGGCATGCTAAGATCTCACGCTTGGCACATAACAATTGTCAGAGAGCAATTTTATGCTTCGGATGACACTTAGAGTGGCATCTGTTGCGTGCGTTCACCAGGCGTTCATAATGAACAAATCACGCGTTTCGAGTTTCACACTTCCTAGTCACATAATAGCACATTGTTGGATTATACAATGATATGTATAAAGCATGTCGTTGCGAGACATGCTTCTTAAAACCTTTCTGAATTTCTTTAAATTACTGTTTCAAGATCGAAAGAATCGATATTAACAGGTAATGCGTGATAGATACTGCAGAAAAACAGAAAGATAAAAGTGTTGTTCTAGTTTCGGGTTACACAAAATTTTAATTAATTCCAATCTCACATCTACTAACAACTTCCTACAAATATTTTTCTCAGAATCTCACAGATAAAACAGAAGGTCTATTAATAATAATTAAATATTCTTTTTGCAAATTATTATTTACTATTTACTATTTACAACTAATTTTGAAACGGATACACACAAACTCGTAAAATAATTTCGACATTCTTTGTAGCAACTCTAAATAAGTGTTTTAAGTAAAACTGATATATTCTATCTGGTTTATCTCTCTTGATCATATATTTTTACCGTAATTATAATTTTTGTATTGCTTTTTTCCTTTGCATTATTCCTTTCACGTTCTTTTTACATGCATTTTCCTTTTCTTCCTTTTCCTCTGCATTCTCGATATGTTACTTCATCATGGTAGGTTCTTACTGTATTTTTTTATAATACTCCTTATCATTGGCATGCAGTATGCCCAGAACAAAATTGAACTACTATTTAAATTCACCACCGTCGTAAATGTCTCGACAGCGAAGATGCGTTACGTGCAATCGTGCATCATGCATGCGTGCATTCGATTGCGTTTGTCCTTTCACTGTACAATGCTGTAGTCAGGCAAAGCACACGGCCTGGTCTCTCGCTGCACTTGCCGGCCATTGCCGGCCACTTTCACGTGCGATTGCGAACTCGGTCTCGCCGAAGTAAGCCGCGCAGGAAGGACTCATTGCTGTGTGGCACGCCGTAAGTTCCTACGTCGAGAACTACACTCGAGCTTGAAGAAAAAAAAAAAAGAAAAAGAAGAAAGAAATTCCGGATGCACTCGTTATGTATAGTGCGGAGTGACCTAAAACTCGTATTTCGAATAGTCGCGATTGGTTTCAAATTTCCTCTCTCAAAAAATTGTAAATTTTTGAAAGATTTTTTTGAGAGGTTCAAATTTGATTTGTTTATAAATAATAAACAAAAATGATAAGAATAGAGAGAATTATTCTTATATGCATACGCGGAAAGGATTGTTTTATTGAAGTATCTATAAAAATGTGATTAAATATAGATCTAAAAATAATTTTATTGGACCATCAAAATAATTATAGGTCTGTTTTTTATTGATTTTCTGAACTGGCATACACAGTGTAATAAGTTGAAGTGAAACAAATATACGTTTGTTTCACTTCAACTTATTGCACCGGTTCAGAGTGCAGCAATAAAAAAACTTATGTAGGAAGTTCAGACGGATTGCTAGAACGTCAAGTTCAATAGCAAAGATTTTTACACACTGAGAAAAAAAAAGTTAACTTGACTAAAATGCGTTTAGTTCATAATGATTATTTAGTTCAAATTTATATATTTAGATCTTTATTTTTTTGCAATTTATATATTAGCAAGATCTTGTAATTTAAAACACGTTATTTGTTTGAATTAATATTTGCTTGATAGTCCGTTATACTTAATTGAATTAATCAACTAATATTTTTTTGTAACAACAACTTTTTTTTTCAGTGCAACATTAATCATTACTATATAATACTTGAAATTTAAAATTTCTATACGCGCGTAATTATTTTGATAATCCAACGAAATTATTTTTAGATCTGTATCTAACTAAATTTTTAGGTACTTGAACAAGATCGTTCTTTGTATGAGACATTAAGATGCGATGACTTTACAAATTCAAATACCTGCATCTTCGGTTGATGTGGAAGGTTGCTCTTCACATCCGCGTTTAACATAAAACGATCATTTGTATTCAAAGCGAATTTGCAAGTTTCTTTCGTATCATTAGTTTTTTTGCGGCAGATTGCAAAATACCGCAGAAATCGTGTGTCACATTGCACAGATTTTGCTCTTATATGCTGGCGCATAAGTCACATAATACAATTGCAATTGCAATATCACACGATTGACAACTCCTGACGATTATGCATGCATAAACAGCGTGAGCTTTCTTAGAAACCAATATTGAAGAAAGTTTCGCTGGACCGTAAAATATGTTCGGCATGAATATACAAGAATTTCGATGTATAATTAACTAATCTTGTGGAACGAAATTCTAAATGCATTAATATTTGTGCAAGCGAATTTTTAGATTTCTACCTATGTTATCTCAAAAGAAATCTGCCAGAGAAAGCCAAATTCAGCTTCGCTGCCACATATTTTGCACGTGAGGACAAAACAGTTCCGATAACCAAATGACTTGGATAATAAGCTCAATTAATTCTCTCCTCTACCAGTACTTATTCATTTTGACAATGAAAGCTAACATTAAAGAAAATAAAGTATGTCAAGCACCTACTATGACGCCATAATTCGAATAATAAAAGCTCAGATAAGAGTTCAAATATGATCAGAACTAAAAAAAAAAGCATGAACTTATTCGTATAAATAGAATGTAAATAAATGGAATTCTACTTTCGTATAAAAATTCCGCAAAAGAAAATCTTATTTACTTCTTAATGTTTTATGTTTAAAAATTAAAATAATATATTCGCAAAATTTGAGAGATCTCTTTCCCAACATTCGAGCCTGTGTTACTTACCTGGGAAGCCCATCGGTCCAGCTGAACATTTTCTTTAACTTCTCCCGTTGCACCTGATCCTCACCCTGAAATCCTTTGTTATCCATTGTCAGCGCTTTAATTCCACTATTGTTTCACTTCGCGAGCGGCCTTGAAGCGGGATGAGGATTTCCGCGAGAACTCACGCGCGAAAGTTTTGCTGCTTGATTCAACAACGACGGTGCATCTTTTGTTTCTACGTTAAAAACACGTCATCCGGCACTTGCGTCGCGCTGAAAGTTAAATAGATTATTTAGAAACAATAAAATCAATAGGCTCTAAAGAAAATTCTAAAAAATAAATAAAATGCCGATTTGGGACATTGTGTGGTTATTAGTGTGTAGCAACGTTGATACGTAATGATTGCGCTATCATTATGTAATTTTGTTAATATATTTTTTTTGTACTGAAGAGGATCTTAACCGTAGGTTGAAACGTTTAATATTCACTTTGAATAAATAATATTAAAATACACATTAATAACCAGTTTTGGCTCACATTGGCATTTTATTTTTTAGATTATTTAGATTTCCTATAAATACAATAATGCATCACGATCAAAAATATATTGAATAATCAAATAAAATCCCATTCTCCTTGTATATTCAAAACAATATTTCTTTTTAAATGAATTTTTTCAGAACTTTATACAAATAATGATTTTTTTTTAGATACATATTTTGTTTCATCTTATCTTAAATATTTTCGGTAATTTAGATAAATTAAGATTGCTGACTTATGTTAACAGAAAATTCTTGTTTATTTTTTAACGTTCTTGTAATATTTTGAATACTAAGTTGCTTCTGAGATATAAGATACAGAAAATATCAATCACATAGTAAGTTTCTTTTAAACCTGACTTAAATAAAAATGTTAACGCTTGAAAATGTCACATTGTAGCAATTCAATTTATTACGTGCAGTTGTTTTGCATCTACGTGTATCTTGCGTGCGGTAATCCATTCTGTGTCTGCATTTGCGTACTATGTTTTGAGATTTACAAATTATATAGAGTCAGCATTGTATACACCTAAATAATATTTGATATTGCGATTGTTTTCTCGGTATTGTGTGTGTGTATAGTAACGCGAATTTCGAAAGAAAATCTTTCCCATTGCGCGGGAATATTATAATTGCTTTAATGAGCGCATGCTCATTCATGACAATAACAGAAAGTGAAACTTTAAACGCAACTTTATCGCGGCCGAGCAAAGTGTGCACGCTCGAGGTCATTAGGAAGAAAGCGTGGTATATAACGAACTGTCGGCCACTGAAATAGAAAATGCGGCCGCGCGTTGTTAGAAATAGCGATCATTTTCTATGACTTGTTAGGATATCTCGAGCGTTACGATGCAGTAGAACACGTATGATGCTGTTCGTCGTCACTCAGCAATTGAAAGTAAAAGGTCGTGAACGCGTTGATACACTTCGTTTATGGATGTTACTTAATCCTATCATTATCATAGCAGGTATTTAATCACTGGAAATCAATAAGAAATTATCATTACGTTATAAAGAATATAAAGGTTAACATTCAATAATTTCCTTTATTGTAAAATCGAAATATTTTTGTTGCTACTTAAAAAAATAATAAAAAATAATTACACATGAAAATTAAATTCTTATTATCATACTTTGATTATAACGTAATAAAATAATTTGAATTAATTTAAATGTAACTGATAATGATTGATAGATCATGATAAATTATCGTTATAACATTGTAACGATTTGTGATGTAATTAAGATGCTGTTACGGGTTTAACTGAACAAAGAAGATTCATTCACAATCTTTTACGACAATATCGCAATGACATTCTTGTAGTAGCAACACAAGTAATAATTCTTTCATCAATAGCACGCAACTACATTTCACGTCAATACTTGTCTTTAACGATTCGAATTTTTGTAGTGATTCATTCGTTATCGTACTATTATTATTATTATTAGCAGTTACATTGATATTCAATTGTTTCTACGTGTTATTGCACTTTAGGGAATCGTACGGGGAAAGACAGACAGAATGAAATAAGAAAAATCTTAGTATATTTATCTCAGTACATTGCAATGCTTCAAATATCAAAAAAGGGAATTTTTAAATAATGTGTTTTCGTGTAAGTAACAGATATTGTATAT